CCCCAAAACCCCAAAACCCCAAAACCCCAGCGTTATAGATTTATCAAATAATTTTAAAATTGTAAATTAAGAAATAATTAAGCAATTAATCTTTAATAAGCTAACTGATGATATGATGAGAGAATGAGGGAGTAAATACTGATCGAAATAAAATTACTAGTAATAAATAGAAATTGTATTAAGTCATGGGAAATACTTGGACTGGAGTAAATGAAGCAGAATTCTAAGAGTATGAGCTAAGAATGCTATATCATACAGGAGTGCCTTTGTAGATGTTTGAAAGATATAATGTTGTTATTGATAAAGATAGGAATTACATTAGGACTATCTGAGTTGGGTCTGAATCAAACCCACCAATGGTGCTTGTCCATGGTTATGGAGGCTCAGCCATAATGTTCATGAAGATAATAATGCCATTACAGGATTGATATAACTTATACTTAGTAGATATTCTAGGAAAGGGAGGGAGTAGTAGACCAATATTTAATTTAAAAACACCTGAAGAGACTGAAAGATTTCTAGTTGATTGGTTTGAGCTATGGAGATAGTAAATGGACTTAGAAAATTTCATATTAGTAGGGCATTCCTTAGGCGGCTATATTTGTGGACTCTACGCCTCTATGTATCCTCACAGAGTAAGGAAACTTCAGCTGCTTTCTCCTTTGGGGTTAGGAAAATAACCAACTGATCCTTAAACATTTAAAAAGCATGTTTTTTCAACAAAGCTAGAGGCTTATCTATGGAGAAAATAATGGAGTACGTTTAGTGTTTTAAGGTTAGCAGGAAGAGGTTGTGGATATTGCATGATTGGAGGATATGTTAGGAGGACTTTGCGTAAAGCTTCAAGATCAGAGCAAGTTGACTATTAAAAGTATTTGGCTCAGACTTTCTTGAGAGCAGGGTCAACGGAGTACGCTATTTTTAAATGTTTCAATTCAGAGATTTATGCTATCAACCCTCTGGAAAGTGATGATAGATTAGGAGGAATATAAATCCCTTTGAGTATATTTTTTGGAGATCGTGACTGGATGCGCTAAGAAGGAGCTAAAGATATAATATTTAAGAATAAATATCGAGGCATCCACAGCCATTTCTATATAATTGAAAATTCCAATCACATACTCCAATTTGATAACCCTCAAGATCTGGTGCGAAACATGATCAAAGATCTTGAGAATCTAGATCAGTTAGAGAAATTTAACTTAGAAGATACTGGCCATTTTGATTAAAGGAGAGAACAAGATTCTTTTTGTTTGAATGGAGTAAACGAAATAGAAGATCTTCTTGAGAGATATAATGAATCGAAAAGAAGACTCTTCGGTGTGGTGGAAGAAGCTAAGAATATTAACGATAATATACATTTATCTGGAGTCTAATGATTTAATTTTATTCAGATGATTATATTAATAATACATAGAAAATATTGGACTACTACTGCTTTTATATTTAAGTATTATTTCAGTTAAAAATTTTTGTCTTCTGGGGTTTTGGGGTTTTGGGGTTTTGGGG